AAAGCCTACTTCCTAAAGTGTTGAGAAATAAATGATGTAATGGAAGATATTTAGCACAGTGCCTAGCACAGAGTAAGAAGTCGACGAATTGAACAGGTATTGTTAATCTTCCCAGATTGAACTTCAGCCAGCTCGTCTTTCTCTACTCTCATAAGTACAGCCAACACTCTTCTCAATGGGCATCCTTCTTCACTATTTAGGTAGGTAACTTTACTAACCTTCCTAGGCCATTACTTTCTGTATTGCTAACAGTCCCAGGTACTTTTCAAAGTCTGGCTCAAATGCCACCTTGGCCATGAAGACTTTTTTGATCATCAAGGCTATATGTGACTAGCTCCTCTGCTGAATTCCCATGGCACTTATGTATCACTTTTGTGACACTTGGATATGTCTGGGGAGTATTTTAGTTTCTTATGGACTTGGTTTTTCCTCTGGTTCCCAATCTGTGGAGATACCTGGGGCTGGCTGTAGCTCTCCTCTGACGACACTCTGCCTTCTCAGGTGGCCTTCTGTAAATGACTCTGCCCTTTGGAGTTTCAGCAACCCCTCTCTCCCTTCCTGTCCCTGGACTTGGGGATCAGCTCCTCTGCCTCACTGGGTACTGGTTAGTGCTTCTCATACTTCCCTGCACCTCACCATCATCTTCATAAATAGGCCTTTCCTTGATAAACCCTCACCAACATGATCATGACCCGGGCTGATACACTCACTCACCTGCGGTCAAATAAAGTGAAGTACTTTACTCCCCATGGGCCTTTGACCTTTGCAATGGAATTAGCCATGGTCACCTTTGGAGGAGCCCCTGGAAAGTGGATGCCTGAATCCCACCAGCTCTCTCACTGGGCTGGAGGTAGCTTCAGATCTGGAAGGTGTTTTATAGATAAAATGGAAAAGTAACAGGAAAAAAAAAAGGCAGAATAGAGAAACAAAGAGTGGGAAATAAAGACGACTTGAGTTGGAAAGCAGAGACAAACTATGGAAAACCTGTTAGAAGCGTGTACCCTCAATTTTCAAAATTTTCTACTTTCTATACTTTCTGCTGCTAAAGACTGATTGGGAATGTACAGTCTTTTAACAAATCGAGATTGCAACTCTCATTCATCCAAATATTTTACATTTCTATATATCAGCTTATCCCATTTAGAAAAACAAACGGATACTTGGACATGTGCACATAAATCTATTTGTAAGTTTTATGTTAGATGTACCAGAAAATCCTGTTTATGACTCTGTCATGGCATTTTGGAATCTAGATGATGAAATTTTGTTTACAGACCCAAATGGTGAATGTTTTTTAAATTTTCCAAGTTATATGCATTAATATTTAAATAATGATTTGGATTCATGATGATATAGAAATTAATCATGAAATTCTTTACTCTCCCTTCAATGGACCCGTGGATTTAGGCACATGCATTCTTGGAGAGCACAGAGCTTGATGCCATATACTGAAATGCTATCATTACTGACATTGGGTCACAGAAGACCCCAAATAACAATTTATTCCTGGAATTAGCTGGAATTGACAAATTTAAATTGAGTAGCATGTTTTCCTTGTCGTGATTTATCCTTGCTTTATCCCTGGCCATCCTGAGGTTGTCTAGTTACACAGTGTTTGTAACTGGTTTGGTTTATTAATCCAATAGCTAGAGACTGTACCACTGATTTAATATTTATTAAGCACCCAAAATGTGACAAACACAGTACAAGCCCCAGCCTAAAGAGCTTCACACAGTGGGTCAGCCACATGCATCATATGCACACAACAAAGACATCAACTCATGAAGGATAATCAATAGAGCCCCTACCTTGGGGAACAAAAGTGCCCCTGGCCTCTCATCTGTGGGGGATGGAGCCTGGGCTCACTCCCAGATCTAGCCACACTCTTGCCTGGGTCCCCTTGATCTCAGGTCTGTGACATGCATTTGCAAAACTACTAGATGTTCAGGAATACAAGCCACAGGACAGAGGTGGTTGACTAGCCTACCTGAGAAAATAAACCTGGAACTTAGCACCTCACCCCTGCCCCCATTAGAAGGGCAGGCTGAAAATCCACAAGAACAAAATTCAGGAAGCTTACATCAATTGGGATACTGTTACCTTAGCATCTCTCACAGTTGCTATTTCCAGGTAACTGTTGCCAACACATATTGAAACACTCCCCAGCCAATTTAGTGAGATAAATCTATTGATTGACTGCCAAAAGTGAGACCTGGTGACAATGTTTGCAAAGAGGATTACAGAACCTCCTGTCAGCCTCAGAAAGGGCCGCTGCCAAGTACCAGGCTGGCTCAGTTCCCAGCTTTACAGCCTGTATCACTCCTTGCAGGCAGAGGACTGGATGCTTGGTATTACCGAAAATGAATTACATCAAATAAAAATTTATACTTCAAGTCTATGTGGATTTCTCTAGAACTTACTTCTGAGAGATTTTTTAGAAATTAGTTTGTTTAATAGTCAAACTAGTCCCAAATAGATTTCAGATAGGGTAAGAATTAATTAGTTGCTGTTCAGTTGCCAATTTGCTTAATTTGTAAAGATGTTGATAAACACAGCATAATTCTCCAGCCTCTTTAGATTCTCCATCAAGTCCACATAAATGTTAAAAATTTTAAATTGTAAGCATACTTGAAACAGGTGGCAGCTTTTCTAGTAATTAATGGGGACACTTTCTTCTAACAGTTGATATAGACTTAAATCAAGCTAATCAGGGAACATTTCAATTTTTTTAACACCCTGGCAACCAGGACTTGGAACAATTCATGGTGTATAACTTTATAATGCAATCGATCTGCAGTTGAATGATGATAATTTTTTTTAAACTGACTGGATTCATACAGTGCCTTAGACATAAGAGATGTGTAAGGAAACTATTGAGTATATATCTATATATTTCTGATTATAGCGAGTTGCCTCTGTGTGATTCATCAGGTATTGTCTGAAGGCTCATTATAAGAGTATTCTCTAAGTGTGGCATGTAAATCACTGTCAGAATTCAACTCCAAATTCTTAATACTTTTAGCAGGTACAATTGAAGCTTCATTCAGATGTTTCTGAGATTCATTAGAAAAAGGATAATTCTTAAGGTACTTAACCTTGGACACATATTAAAACCACCTTGGAAAATACTAATGCCCAGGCCCCAACTCAAATCAACTGGACTCTCTGGGAATAGCAGCTAGGCAATGATGTTTTTGAAAGCTCCCTGGGTGATTCTAGGAGTAGCCAGGGTTGCGAACCAGTGATTTAAACTTTCCAACAAAGAGACCATAATGAATCTGATTCCTTCCCAACTAATTCCATCCTTTACCCCATTCCCTCGACTCTCCACATACATTCACCCAAAAAATGCTCTGAGGAAACAGGAAATGTCTGACCTTGAGCCTCCCAAGTAATGGAGATGCTGGAAGCACAGGAGCTAGTCCCTGCGAAGCCTAGAAGATGCTTTCATTTGGAGAGGGGGAGTGATATAATGTGGGTGGGCTACATTATAAGAGCACGGGTTCTTTGATCTCCACATAGATGACGCTGAAAGTTAGCTTTAGTGCCATTCTCAGAGGTAACCCGCATCTCCTCAGTTAGCCCAACTTTTCCTTTCTCTCGAGCCAGGCTTTTTGACTCTTCCCCATGCTGGGAAAACTCTAGTCACACAACTACTAAAGACTCATATTAATAACTAGCCCATCCACAGATATTCACTCTCCCATTGTGGCTGTTGACATTGGAGTAATATGATTTAATCTTTGTCATCCCCAAATCACCCACTTTTTCCCTTCCTTTAATGAGTGAATGAGCTCATTTCTGAGAGGAAGAGAAGGGGAGAGGTGGGGAAACATGGATTCTGCTGCTTAGTGAGCTGTGCAGTACTGAAATCTTACAAATGGCAACTGAGTGACTGCAGACACTACTAGTTCATGCCCTAAATGCCATTCTGGCTGCTGGATATCATGTTTCAGTTCCCAAGACTCCTGCCCTCATTGCCCTGCTCACTCTTCCAACATCGATGTGGAAATCCTTGTCACAGAACACTGGTCCTCAGTTACAGAATTCTTGGGGGGTTAAAGTGAGGATTATCAGCATGGTATTGTCCCCCAACAGTTTCCACCGGGTCTCTTTACCCTGGAAGGAATTCGGTGTTCGATCTATGCATCCCATGGGTGACAGTTTATTTTTCTGTTCTGGCCTTAAGTAAGCTCCTCCCAATCCTTGTATTCTGGGTTGATCATGTTCCAAGTGTGTCACCACAGAGCAGATGCTGAGCAGTCAGATGACAGCTGTTGATCTGTTGCAACTAAGCAATTAGAGAATGCAGGAGAATGCTGTGGCTCACAGTTTACACTGAGTATTCAGAAAATCAAATATTTGAGTGCCCACCTTGTGGCAAATACTGGATGTGTATACACAAACATACACACAGATAAGATGTCTGTCCTGTGCACAGTTGTATGTCCCCTTCAGTAATTGGTACTTTTCCCTTTTTATTCCTATTTATCTATCTTTTCATGGACTAATTCATCTCGTCATTTTCAAATAGAAGTTGGGGAATAAAGAAGGGGAGAAAATAATAGCAAGACCTTTTGAAAGATAGTTTGTGTTTTTGTAGTACAGATGCAAATGTATTTAAACTCAAAACCCTTTTGATATATAAAGGTCTTTTTCAGGAAATGCTAAAATGCTAGATGTAGATTTGTAATACATATTTCCCTGAAACTAGAAGTAAATGGATTCAAATTGACCAAGCAATATCAGGTATTATATCTTCGTTGTATCCTTTTTTAAAGGCAACCTGAAAATCTTTACCAACTCCAATACAGTCATTTAAAACCCCACCACCATCGTTTCTTCATTTCACTATTGAGCAAACAGAAGGAAAAGCAAAGAAGATGGCCACGGGTCTGAAATACTGTTTTGAACCTAGAGAAAGAGCTTTGTTTGGCCTTCAAGGGCATAAAGAGGAAATAATAAATCCTCTTCCCTCTCCCGGGCCTCCTCCTAGCAAAGTACTCCCACCAAAGCTCACTTGACATTGTACAAAGACACAAGGACAAGGCAAGACAACTGGACAAGATGGGTGGGCTGGAAGTTTTGCCTGTATTGGCTTAGCTCTGGTGCTAAGAATAAGCTCTCGAGTCTAGCCTCGGGTGGGTAACCTTGAAGACCAGTGGACGTGGAGCTCCCCAGGCCAGCCAGGCCTGGTGCAGTGGCATCAGATGACCACACTGACTGTCATGCTCTGGCCGTGCGGCGCTATCTTGCGGGGCCAAGAGAGCAACAGCTTGCGCAGCTCCTCGCGGAAGCTGTCGTGCAGCCAAGCGTAGATGAAGGGGTTGTAGCAGGCGGAACTCATAGCAAGCCAGTGGCAGAGCAGCTGAACTAACCCAAAGGCATAGGGGTCAATAGCGTGCGGGTCAAGGTCCCGCAGCAGGTTGAAGACGTGTAGCGGCAGCCAGCAGATGGCGAACACCACCACAACCACCACCAACAGGCAGAAGGTGCGGCGGCGCCGCGCGCGGTCCCAGTCGGCCTGGCTCTGGGTCACGCAGCCCGGCATCACGCGGTTCCGGAGTTTCACCGACACTCGGACATAAGACAGGAGGATGACAAGCAGGGGAAGCAGGTAGGTGACGAGCAGCAGCCCCCAAGCGTAGAGCTGGCGCTGGCGCTCTTGAGACCCCCAGAACTCCTCGCAGAGGCGTACGCGGTGCGACTTGAGCTCGATGTGATAAGTGTGCAAGGCAGCGGGCAGCGCCAGCACCGCGGACAGCGCCCAGATGCCCAGTACTGCGTAGGCGCTGAGGCGCAGCGAGATGCGCCGGCGCAGCGGGTGCACCAGCACGACGTAGCGGTCCACCGCGATGGTGGTGAGCGTGAACACCGACACGTAGACGGTGACGGGCTGCAGGAAGAAGACCAGGTGGCATAGGACACCGCCGAACACCCAGCCGCGTGGCTCGAAGGCGTAGGCCAGCGTGAGAGGCACGCATGCGGTGCACATGAGTACGTCGGACAAGGCCAGGTTGCCGATGAGGAAGTTGGTCACGTTGTGCAGCCGACGCACCCGTGCAATCACCAGCACCAGGAGGCAGTTGCCCGCCAGCCCCACGACCACCACGATGCTGTAGAGCAGCACAATCAGCCCCTTCAGCTGATGCACAAGCTGCAGACTCTGGAACGGCGTGACAGCCTGAGCGCCTGGGCCAGCCACCGACCCATTGCCCACTGAGGCCTCTGTGCTCTGGTTGGCCAGAGTTAAGGTCGCCGGCGGTAGTCCAGAAAGTAAGTCAGGGGCTCGCGGGCCCTGAGTGGGCAGTGAGGCCATGACCACCTGTCCGAAGAGAATCAAAGTCCTTCACTTCCCATTCTCTATCAAACCCCCTCCTCCCTCAACCTCCTCTCACTTCAATCACCTAAATACTCCCTTTGGAATAACTGACCAAAATAAATAACAACAATAAAAAGTGCTGTCATCCCACCTCTGTGAAAATAAATCTGTAAGTGGTTAGGCATGCACATATTACTTAAACTCCTCCTACTGGATTTAGAGCCCTCGCGGTCCACGCAGGCCAAACCCAGGAGCACGGTCCTACCTGGTGAGTGGGGCTTCGCGGGCGAGAAAACGCTCTGGGGAGGGAGGGCCAGAATCCCTCGTTTCCTAGTGATCTTCCGTCCACGACTGCGGTGCAGATTTCTTGCTTCTCCGCGGGAGCTGAACAGATTCAGGAGTTCCCAGTGGGCTCGCAGCTTTTGAGGGGGACTGAGAGCACCTCCCTCTACCCCCGCCCTCCACTCCAGCGCTTCCTTGTATGGAAAAAGGGGGCGGAGCAAACACCACCCGACACGGTGCTTAGACAACTAGAGAGAAGGACATTGTCAGGAGGATGGAAACGGAAAGGAGAGGAGAGGTCGACAAACCTGGGCCAGAGGGGCGAGAGAGAATCCCAAATGCTTGCTGTGCCCTGGGAGAGTCCCGCTCCGAAGAAGGGTGGGGTGAACGAGGGGAGAAGGGGTCGTGAAGGACCAGTTCTCTCAGGATGAGCTGGTGCAGTTTCAATAAGGAAGGAGTAGGGGAGGAAGTGGAGTGGGGGAGTTGAGACACACCACGGGTGCGGGAGAAAGATGAGGGACCCGACCCTAAGCGCTGGATCTTGCATAGAGTCAGGGTTGTGGTTAAGATAGTCTCATAGAAAGTTCCAGCAGCGATTTAAAATTTAAAGCCCCGAGCTCACCGCAGACCTTCCCATCTTTATTCTCCCCGGGACCCACTGAGCCCTGCGCCGAGGCTGAGGCTCAGGACAAGCCAGAGAAAGTGTTCAGCACCGCGGACAGCTCCCGCAGGGCCCTGCTGCGTAAGCCAATGGGTGCCTGGGAGGGGACAAAAATTAGGGAGTTCCAGCTCCTCTCCGGGATCTGATACATTCAGAAAAGGGACCAGCCTGGTTCAAAAACTGCTTCACCGCCTGCCTCCTGGGCTGGGGCTGCTGATTCTGACAACAGTAGGGTGGAGTGGAGGTGGATGAGCCCTTGTCTCTGGGAGTTGGAGGGTGGTGACTTGCTGTGAGTGCTCTTGCTGTGAATCACCGCAGCAAGAAGGTCAGAAAATACAGCCCTCATGCCAGTACCTCTACACAGGCACACTTCACTACCTGGCTCCCACTACTCCCCCACTCACCCTTTTCCACGCCTCCTTTCTCAAATAACATGCCCTATCCCTTATCTGCCATCCAGAATGTAAGTTTCTGGACTGGGACCTTCCCTATCCTCTCCCTCCTTATGTGAACACCCCCAGGCCTCTTCACCTCCTGTTAGAAGATTTTTTAAAAATTACTAGTAATTGCAAGATGTCCACCAGAATAACGAAATTAACAAACATTTGAGAAGCTTCAAAGTTACATAAAATCTTTAGAAGCATTGAGTCGTCATTGAATTGCAAATTCACCTGGACCCAGGTGGGGGTGGGGTAGGGAAGGAGGCTTTGTAACCTCCTTCCTGTGAAACTATCTCAACTCCTGGAGTCTTATTTCCTTTTTCCAGAGGGCAGAGTGTCATTGTCCCCTCTCTAGTAAACCTTTGTACTTTGTCTTCTGGCTGCTGACATATATCCCTGTTAGGATGGAAAGAAATAAATTAGTCCACCCTCCAAATTCAAGTGATTCACTCATACAAGAGGAAAAGTCAACACTGGAACAAAAGCAATCAATTTTATGCATCTGTATCTATTCTAAACTCACACTTGCTGAGTTATAATCAATTTAGCTAAAGCCAATATGATATGGGAAGAAAAAAAAAACCAAAACTTCAAAATAAAATACAATCTGTGCCTGTCTACATCCCTTGCCCAGTAATTCTTCTCTTCATGTTTATCAACAGAGTATGTGTGCCCAAGAGCGGAGGCACTCTTTTGCTTCAAAATATCTTAAGCAGAGGAAACTGTGGTAACACAGGTGACAAAGGATCTGGGATGCAGTTAGGCCCTATAACTACAGCCATCACTCTGATCAATATCATTGATATATAATACTAAAAATAATGACAGGACTAAAGCCCACATGAATGTCACTATTTGAAAGTTCAATATTGGGGCACCCTTCAGAGCAGAAAGTTGATCATTTGCCAAGTTCCAAATAAAAGCTGGTAAAAGTTTCAGTGTTGTCAGTATTTGCAAGGTGAAAAGGAAGCGAACACCTTAGAAGTGTATAGCCTACTTTAGATCTTTATTCGCTCTAGTCCTCCCTGGAGTTAAGGCTTGTCTCTCTCTCAGTCATGACGTTACGATTAAACCATACAAATGTTCAGACTTTCCTGTACTAATAGTGCTCCAGAAACTTGGGAGACCATAACTAAAAAACTTTAAGGATGAATGAAGTAAATAGCAAACTACAGGACGTCATTATCTCCCCTTCCCCCAAAGCCTCCAATGGTCCATCAAACAAAGGCCAGACCCGTGGCATTTCCAATCAACATACACTCCTATGCTGATCCTCCTTCATTTGGGGGATGGCTCTCCACCTCTGTCCATCTCACTCCCTACATTCAGGCCAAACCAGATTGTTGGATTCTGTAATGTCCTCACCTATCCTGTCCAATCTCTCTCTTCGGGTTTACTCCCTTTCTCCAGAATGCTGGTTGCTTTGTTCCCACTCAACTCCATTCTTCATACCCTGCAAGGCCCGACTCAGAGATTACCCTCTGCTCAAAGTCTTCACCCTTTCACAATCCTTTTGTCCTTTATTAGTTCCTATCTTTGAAATCGTGAAAGTGTTTTTGCTCCCCTGCCTCCACCAACCATGGCTGTAAACTCTTTATGGATAGGGGCCAGTGTCTTGAAGCATTTTTGTGCCTACAACATGCCTGAACCCAGCAGATCCCCAATACGTGTTTCTTTTGATTGAATGGATAAAAGAGCTACCATTTATCGAGAGCTTTTTACATGCCAGGTACTGTGCTAAGTACTTCACATATATTATCTCATTTGATTCCCTCAAAACTATTCTTATACCCATTTTACAGATGAGGAAACTGGCTCTTTAAGGCCAGGTAACGAACCATATGTCACAGCTAATAAGCAATGGTACTAGAATTTTAACTTAGATGCACCTGATTCTGCAGCCAGAGCACTCAACTGCTATACTTTACTACCTCCAAATGAATGACAGGTGCATCTGCACAGTCCGAAAATACAAGTTCAAGTAGAATTGAATAAGTATAGGGATACTTCCCCCCGCCCAGAGTGATTTGTTAAAGGAAGTTCTAGCAAATTCACTTATAACTCTTAGCATATCATTTTTAAGTAAAACAGATCTTTATGCCTCACCCCAAATATCCCTTGCTTATAACCCATGTAGGAGACAAAACTTGAGGCCATTTGAACTTCAGGGAATGGTCTTATGCTTTATGATGACAACAGGTGATATGATGTGAAAAACAGGAGACAGGGACAAGAGAGGTAAGGACTGCAAGGAGGAGTCCAGGGAGCTTGATTAAGGGATCTGAAATTTTTATGCCACCCAAGCTCATGCTGATACACTGCAATTAGCCCAGATATATGGGAAACCATTATTTTAATTACCGGTGGGGAGAGAACAATTGTTTGAGACTTAAGTCCAGGCAATAACAGAGTAGAAGGAGTTTTGTCTTCTAAGCCTGTCCAGTGTGTGTTCCAAGAGCCAGGCTCCCCACTGGCTCCTCAGCCTGAGCCTGATGAAGAAATCTTCACACACACACACACACACACACACACACACACACACACACACACACACACAATTTTGTTGCAACTTCTACTATCGCCTCCACCAAAGCCACTTCTGAATCAGGAACTCGGTCTTGCAGCCAGGCACTGGCACATTGCTCATATTTATTTCTCATAAAGCCCAAGCTGATTGCCAAACAGAGGAGAAAACTGGTCCCAAAGCCCAAAGCCCAGGTAGGGAATAGCATACATGTTCTTGACTTATGTAACAGACTTACCATTACTAAATGTGAATATTGGGGAAATTCCTCATATTGGAAGAACTCCAGTTTTGTAAAATATAAGAAATTCATAAAAATAACTACCTCTGGAGGATGCTGAAACGATCCAGGATTTGTGAAGAAACAGGCACGTAGGTGGCACATAGCCACCTTGGATAATCCTTCGTCCTGTCTTGTGTCAAACCCTCCTGTCAGGAGGGTTTCTGGGATGCAATTCCCATCTCTTCCACTTGAACGTTACTATAGAAAACAGTCTTTGTGGTGAGAAGAATTTGCTGTTTTTCAATCTAAATGCTTTCCTTCATTTCATCATTGTTTACTAGGCATACAAAGCCTGGGTAAGATATCATAATAAAAATCAGAGGGAAAAAAAAGACATCGTTGTCTAAAAACTTGCATTCTAGTGAGTAAGAGAGGAATCTACAAAAATCACTACAATGACCATGATAAATGCTACGACCACCACCTACTAGGAAAGGGAGACACATTCATGACCCCTGGGAAATTGTTTTAGTAAATTAGAATTAGGTTCACCCTTACAGATCATATTTATTTTAAGGCACAAGAGTCTTGAAAGTGTTCATAATAGTTTTTACTCAACCATGTCGACATTGCACATGTTGCTTAAATGTGTCCCCCTCCCTATGTTTATGTAAAAGATACACAACAATTTAGGGTTCATTATGAATCTCTATGAGTTCAGTGTTCAGGTGGCAGAAAATGAACATTCAAGGTCCCTGACCTTGACTTATCTAAGGTCTCTAGCCCCAGGCAGCTTCATTGCACACATCCCTGGACCTTGCTACATTCCAGCAGATCCAGGTTCCAGCCTTCTCTGGTGACTCTCTGTACAAAAAAAAAAAAAAAAACCCACTAAGAGAGAAAAGTCTTGACCAGCCTGCCCAATTCCAGATCTCAGCGCATTTTATTTTTAAACTTTTGATTGGACTCAGTAATACT